TCGCGACCAAATTGCTAATCATGTCAATCGTCCACAATGTTCGGAAAGTCCTGTACCACCAAGAATTTCCCTCGGAGACTGAGGTCGCCCGAGATATCTGATATCAAGAGAACAAGTTGAATTCTTGCTGGAACGTTGTTTCAGTGTAGTTGACATTGCAAGTCTTCTGGGTGTTAGGCGGCGTTCGCACGTTAGAACGACGACCCTCCGAGTTTGGCTTCAGGGCACGGTCAACGTATTCAGATATTAGCGACCAGGCACTTGACAACACTGTGCGAAGCATTTTGACAGACTTCCCGAACACTGGCTACAGGCGCATGACTGGTTTTCTTGCAAGAACGAAGGCTACGTATTCAGCAGAACAGGATACGGGAGGCAATGCGTAGAGTTAATCCAGCTGGGGTGTTCTTGCGAGCGCTTGAACTTCGTACAATACACAGAAGGCGTTATCAGGTTTATGGACCACTCGCTCTATGGCACATTGACGGGAACCACAAGTTAATAAGATATTTATTTTATTCATCGTACACGTCGTCTTGGCTTTGTAAAAGTGACCAGAAATCAAAAGGAAAACTGAAAATACTACACTTACTGGATGCACAGACACAATAGCCGTGTGTTTACAAAAATTTGATACAGTAAGGTGGAAAGTATTTTGTTTTTGTTTGATGAGTGTGTTGCATTATAACTATGCACGACTGACGCTGTAATTTGTCACCTACAAGTTACTTGAAATGAAATCTTTATGAATATGCAATACTATCTTTTCAGATGGAGATTTGTCATCCATGGTGCTATCGATGGATATTCTAGAATGATAGTGTATTTGCAGTGTGATGCGAACAACTGTGCTGCCACTGTTTTAACGCTATTTCAGATGTCCATACAGACATGGTATGCTGCCATCACGAGTCAGGTCGGATAAAGGAGGAGACATTGTTGATGTTGCATTCTTCATGCTGTCCCATCGCTTGAGAGGCCCCAATAGGGGCAGTCACATCACTGGACGGAGCGTCCATAATCAACGAATACAGAGATTATGGCGAGATTTGTTTACAGGTTGTACTTACGTCTTCTATCACCTGTTTCACCACATGGAAAACCTTGGTCTCCTTGACCCTTGCAATGAAATTCATGATATCTCCTCGTTGCACTACGCATACTTGCCACGAATAAATCGATGACTACGCATCTTTACATCTGGCCACAACAGCGGTCCCATTTCTACTGAGAGGAACAGTACCCCTTTGCAGCTGTGGGTTAGAGAGGCCTACTTCACTTACAACATTCTAATCACAGAATTGCAGAGGAGACGCGTCAAAGGATGAGGTTTTGTTTAATAACTAATTTGAACAATTAGTGGTAAAAAATAAAGGAAGACTAAAATATCTTCCCCAGAGTCAAGTTAGCTCTGACAAGTAAGACGTTTATCAGGCAATGTCCTCACTTATCAGTTATGAGCAAATGAAAATGTTTGTGATATTGTTATAAACAGTTTGTTTTTGCAAACGTAGATCTTTACTGACGTCTTTAAAGACATAAGCAGGCATACAAAGTTCATTCAGCGTGTACAATTTACGTTGTATTTGCCTATGGCCAGTTTCTCTAAGTAATTCAACTTCTCAGCCAAAAAAACATATTTGGCTACAACACGAGAAAACAGTGATAATCTATTGAAGGAATACTTCAATTCTTCCAGTCCTTGGAGAATGAGAACAATTTTACTACGATGAGAATCGTCTGTTTAAAATGTTACTTTGGATTTACAGGTAGACTTGGATAACTATGGTATTGACTGGGAGGGTCCATCACCCTCTGAAGAGTGGGATGGCCCAATCAGTTGTGAAAATCAGCCAGTCTGCGTTCCACATACGGCCGTCCCTTCGGCATCAACGGACTACGCTGAACTATTGCAAACAATAGATCCCTGCCAAGATTCAGAATTTCAAGGGGTTGATGTCTATCTTCTAACACTTGCATTTGTTGAAGAACGAGTGAACCCATCGCTGTAAAAGGTGTACCGTACCGTACTGTTTCTATTTTAGGTAAAATACAAACAGGTTCTGTACCCACAACTTCATAACTGCCAACGTGAAACACAGTTATGACAAAGTTACCCGAAACGTTAACTGTTACCGGTACATAACTCAATGTTTCAAGTTCTTAGGAACTATTTGTACACTTTAAAGAGATGTGTATCCTCAAGAACCATAGTTTAATGTTTTAATCAATCTCTTTGAACACTGCATATTCTGTTTGTTGTGGAGACGATGTCAGCCTGTGAAAACAGGATTTGCTCTCTGGTAGGCTTGATGGCAATTTTCCACTGTCAACAAGAACATGGAGATTTTGCCCTGGTGGTGGCAACACTTCACACCCTGTCCAGAATGCTAACAAATCTTTCACACCTGCACCAGCTGTCAAAAAAAAAAGAACATAAGGGTTAACATGTTGAGGAAAAAGTACAAAACTGGATAAAAACTGAAGAGTATTACAACTCTCAGGAA